AAAGATGTGCTGAATCGAGATTCCGAAATTAAAGAATCAAGTTTTCTTGGTTCCAAAAAATGGTTTCTAAAAATGTGTCGAATCGAGATTTCCGAAATTAAGGAATCGAGATTCCTTGGTTCCAAAAAACTGTTTCCGTAGAGATCTGTAACAAAAACGCAGAATCGGGTTTTGGAACCAGAAACACGAGGTCTGTGGAGAGATTTCAGTAACTATGGATCATACCACTAATATAGTGGCTCAAATTTTACATGAAATTCAACATCCACATGTTGTTTCTACCTTGCAACAAAGTTAAGCTACCAAGATAGAGATTCTTGCAAAAGCATAACAGATTTAAATCGCTTCAAACTTATCAACATGACCTAAAATGTGACAAAAATTTTACAAGCTTATATCACAGCAATTTCTGAAGGTGGGACACCTATCCACAAACCAGTGGAACAGAATCATATTTCCATTCATGCTTCAACTATAGACCAGAGTATTTACATTACAAGCTCCTAATAGATGAGTCATTTCATATTGTTCAAAGTTAACTCTAGCCTGTTTCTTGTGTTTTTGACACCTTGAACCATGCTAATATTACAACTCAAAAAAATATATATTACAACTCATAGAGGATATACCATATGTTAAATTTTGAAATAGATGATTCACAACCAGCATTTAGGTAAGTTCATGTTTTTTTATTACAAGGGTACGACTAATTTTTTAGGAATGGGCTCAAGGCTAGGTGGTCAGTGTTTGGGGGGGCACCACAACATGACGTCTTGACTTCCATTCTTAACACAAGTGGGGGACCCAATCCCCTCTAAACTACCCCGAAAACAAAAAAAGAAACAAAACCATTTTTGTTTATTACAAGAAAGTTCACAACAGCAAATGGACAATAAGTCATTTGACATTAATACCTGAGGTACACGAACTTTCAAGGGCATCCCCAGTGTATGTAGAACATGAAGCATCATCCGAGCATTTTCATAAAATTAGAGAAGCAACTTCTCGTCAAACGTTGGTTTTTTAATATCTACATATCTAGCCTTTTGGATTTTGTAAGCATGGCAATTAACAGCTAGAGCTGATCAGGGGCAGGCTTCCATCTAATACGCATTTGGTAAATAAAAGACTGTCTTCTATTTTATTTTTATATGTTTTTCTTTTGAATGTGCTAACTTGTATTAAGGAAGGCAAGTGAGGTACAAAAATTGCTACTCACTGAGTGGAGATGCTATACAAGAACCCCACAAAAGGGCTAAGTAAGACAAAAACACATGCATATTAAAAGAGTAAGCCAGATCAAAAAGGCTAAACATGCATTGTTATCATATACATCAAGGTCAAAAAAGCTATGCATTATTACATGCATCGTCATCATATACATTGAAAAGCAACCAAAACCAGGAGCTCAAAAAGGTGCCAAAATAGTTCCTAGTGGATCTTCACGGGACGCTCCTTCTTTGGCGAGTTTATCGGCATCTGCATTGGCCTCTCACCAAGTATACCTCCATAAGATGCGAGTATGCTTGCAGAGGTAGAAGATTTCATCAAAGATGTGATCGAGTCTCCAAGGGCAACTTAAGTTTCCTGAGGCCCAGGTTATGACATTTTTGGAGTCCCCATCTATGATGAAAACTGGACTCCAGAAAGGATCAAAATTATTGACGCCTTCGAGGAGGGCTAGGGCCTCTGCAGCAATGGAATCAGCATGGCCCACAAACTTGGAAAAGGAAAAGATGGTGCCTCTGGCATGGTCGCAAAAGATGCCACCTATCCTAGCTGGGCCCGGGTTGCCTAAGGAGTAGCCGTTGAAGTTCAATTTCATTTGGCCGTGGTGGGGGGGTGCCAAAGTGAGGCGCGAGCGATGCGGATGGATCTTAGGTGCAGCATGGCCAAACAATTTTGGTGAAAGTCCGTGTGAGAGGATTGGAAGTATTTTTGGTTAGTTGCACAAAAGATGACCATCTCTTTGATCTGGTCCTTTCAAGGAGTTCAAAGTGGCCTTCTCTCGAAAAATCCGGTTGTTCCTTTCGGTCCAAATCATCCGCAAGGTGGCTGCCACAAAAGCCTGCAATAATATTCTGCCCAAGGTCAACCAGAGGGGTGATTGTAATATAATGAAGAGGTGTGGTACTGATATTGGGGTTTACCTAAGACCAGTTAAAGAGTTGTAGTAGTTACCCCCAAAGAATCCTTGCCACATTGCAATGGATGAAAAGATGACTATTGGTTTCTTCTTCCTCTGTGCACATAGAACATTTGTTTGCATTAGCAGCTCCCCCTTTTGAAGTTGGTCCACTGTCAAAGCTCCTTCATGCAAATTAATCTAGTTGAAGACTTGGATTTTAGGGGGAATAAAAGAAAGCCAAGTGCTCCTCATGATTGAGGGAGGTGAGGCCAGGAAGGTGGGTAGCATTGGGAGCTTGTAGTAGAACGATGAGACGGAAAAGATCCCCAAGGGATAAGGGAATCAAATGATCTTGACCTAACCTTGCAAGGGGATGAAGGCTAGTCGTCTTCAAGGGATTTCCTGAAGTTAGGGATCCATGACCTTGTGGAGCCTAAAGACAGGTAGTGTTAAGCAACTAAGGCCTAGCTGTTTTGGGCAAGGAGGAAATGATTTGGGAATCTCTCCTAGAGAGTAGTGTTGCCTATCCAAGGTTTGACTGGAATTTAACCTTATTTCCATCCCACAGCCAGACCTTGATGTTGGCTTTAAATAGACTATAGCTTTGGAGTTTAGATATCCAAGATCCAGGGGATCGTCATTCGGCCTACAGATTGGTATTCAGCAAAGAGAAATCAAGGCGATATTTGTGCCAAAAGACCTCACACCATAAGTGGTTATCTTCGGTGGCCAACCACAACCACAACCACCACCACCGATGGCCAAGTTGTTTGTTTTGAGGCTTCGTATGCCTAGCCCTCCAAGGTGTTTGGGTAAAGTGACTCGGTCCCAGGATATGAGATGAAACATTTTGCCATCCCCTTCTCCCGACCACAGGAAGTTGCGCATCATCTTCTCAAGACGGTTTGCAACTGCAAAGGGCATGTGGAATAGCGACATGAAAATGGGGACATTGGAGAGAGTTGCCTTGGTGAGGGTAATTCTACCTGCTGAGGAAAGGAAATAACCCTTCCAACCAACAAGCTTTTTGTCAAACTTGTCTATCATGTGTGCCGATTGTAGTTGTCTTAGCTTACCTATACATAAGAGCAGGCCTAGATAAGTGGAGGATAGAGAGTCAACCTCGCACCCCAAGTGGTAGATGAGGCTGGTGATAGTGTGAATGTTGAAAGACACTCCGAACATCTTACATTTGGCCATATTCACCCTAAAGCCTGTGGCCAATTCGAAAGACTTGAGGAACAAGAGGAGGGAGTCCACATGTTAGTCAGTCGCACTGCAGAAAGGGAGGCTATTGTCGGCATATTGCAGATATGAAATTACCAAAGCCTGGTTCCCAATCTTGAAGCCTTCCAGCGTACCATGTTAGAACAACCTATGGATCTGCTGAAATCTTTGCCAACAATTGCAAAAAAGAAAGGGGACAGGGGATCTTCCTATCTCAAACCCCTGGAGGAGGAGAAGAAACCTTTTCGCGATCCGTTAATCAAGACCAAAGAAAGGATTAATACAACAATTGCGAAAAGGAAAGGGGACAAGGGATCTTCCTGTCTCAAACCCCTAGTGGAGGAGAAGAAACTTTTCACAATCCGTTAATCAAGACTAAAAAAAAGGGATTATGAATCCAACCATGAATCTAAGGCTCTCCATAAGTCTCTGAATCCCATCATGAGCATGATTTCATCTAGAATTGCCTAGTCCACCTAATCGTATGCCTTCTCCCAATCTACCTTGAGTACTACGTCCAGCACCTTAGAAAGGTGTCTAGAGTAGATACATTCATGGGCCACTAGGGCTCCATCAAGAATCTAGCGATCCTTGACGAAAGCTCCCTGTTGTGGAGAGATGACCAAGCTGAGGACTTATTTGAGTCAGGAAGAGAGAACCTTGCAGAGAATTTGTATGAGCTATTGATTAATTTATGGGCTTGAAGTCTTTGAGTTCTTCGGCTCCTTCCACTTTGGAGAAAAGGGCAATGAAAGTTCCATTCATGGCTTTGTGAATGACCCCTCTGGTGTGGAACTCTTCGAACACTGAAAGCAATTCACGATGGAAGGAGTCCCAGAACCAGAAGGTTTTGAACAGAGCCACCAGGTAGCTGTTGGGACTAGGGGTGTAATCCTTCCCCAAGTCTTTGATAGCCATGAGGATCTCTTCTTCAGAAAAGGGGTGTTCCAGCCACTCTGCCTTATTTGGGGGAATGAAAAGGAAATACAAATCAGCCATAGCCGGTTTGGGCCCTAAGGGGGCCACGAACAGGCCTTTGAAGAAATCAATGATTTCTTTTTCCACAAGAGGGGGTTGGTCTATGATAGCCTCTCCGACTTTGATTTGAGTGATGATCAATACTTCATGCCTAATCATACTGCTAAGAAATATATACTTGCAGATATTCAAACTATGGATCTCCTCCATATTGTGTAGTAAATCATTCCCGATATTTAACATGTATTAATCTCCTTTCAGAGAAACCCATGCACATGAATGCAGAAATATGCATACACATGTACTTGTGCTTACGCATGTGAGAATATACTAAATGGACCCAAAAATGCACACAGAGATAAATGTACACGTGAATGCAAACAAATGGGTGAGATGTATACATGCAAACAGCATTGCATCGGAATTTATGTAAAGAAACAGAATAGAACAGAACAGAAGTCAGTAAACAGACTTGCATAACATGTTTCAACATTATTGATCTCATTCTATTTTACTTATATCCAGTTTTGTAATGGATGAGCCAGGTAATGAATCATTTAATAAACATGATAAGAAAATAAACATCCATATAAGCACCATCAACATAAATTATCCATTAGCTGAATATTGTAAAACAAATTGCAAAGCCAATATTCTGGGGTAGTACCTATCGGTATGAAAGTGAAGTCTGCGATCCTTTTCTCAATGTTTCTAATAATCTTATCCTGGCCCCTCCTTAGAAACATGCCAGAACTGGTCCGTACCCTGAAAAGCATTAAATGGCCCTCTAATGAGCTAAATTGGATCAAAACACAATGTAGCATTCAGCTAAAACTATATTATTGCTTATTAATGGGGAGGAATTGGACTCCATCTCATAGATGGCTTTAAAAGACATTGAACCATCTCAGAAAAAAAGTATACAGGACTAAGATATACAAACCTCAAAAGCATGAAAGAAAGAAGGAGAATGTATATAAAACCTGCTGTCTTTGCTCCGACCAGTTCCGCTATCAACAACTGTTGACTTCCTCATGTGTGGCTTCGAAAGACTGATCAAGTACTCACACTCTTCCTTTGACTGCAAAGTACAGGACTTTCCAATTAAAAAAACACTGTTATAACTGAATAACCCAAAGAACTTGGACTAGACCTTAACAAGAGAAACTGATGTTCATATGTCATATCGTAGAGGATGGAAGAAGAATTTCCAGAGGCAGGGACAAGGCAAAAAACAATGACCAAGAAGTCAGCCTCAGAGAGTGACACGATTAAAGAAAAAATAAAGAATGTGAAATTTAGCAAATATTGGAGAAGCATTTGAGAAGCCAATAAACCATGACAAGCAAAGCATTTACCGAACCTGAAATTGGATGCGCATTTTTTAATCTATGAAATGAAGAAAGATTATAATGCCAAATAAATGTGAAACCCAAGATGAGGTATGTATAGATATATGGCATACGCACCAGAAAATTGTGATAAATGAATGCTCTGGGTGCCCATGACAATACTTCCACCCATTGCTTGGGACCATCTACCCCATCACTCCTATAAACGAACCCATCAAAGATCCATAAGATAAGCTAATTCTTCATCACCACTACCAATTTTCACTTTTCAGAACAGCAACCCTAAAGTACGCAAATGTCATTGCAGATATAATCAAACAATCGAGCGATCAGAGAGTCAAGAAGATAAGAAGCTAAAAGTCCTACGATAATGCACAAATGACAAGCAACTTTCCTCATCAGCATACATCTTTGGGAGGAAAATGCTCATGGGGAACCCCCGGTGAAACTAAATATTATCAATTTAAGGGAAACAAGCGAAGCTCAAATTTATGGAAAAGGAATAAACATACAAAGAAAGCTAAGATACAAAAGAAACGAAGTTTTTTCTGTGGCCTTTTCCAACCTTTCCTAGTCAAACTGAAAATTTTTCATTACAGAAGCAGCAAAATTGACCAAATCTAGCAATCATTTCTGAAAGGGGATAAAGCTAAATCACCCAACATGAAACAGAAAACCAGAATTCTCGAAAAATGAAGGGAACAGAATCCACGAAAAAGTGAATAGAAAATCACTGAGCAAACAAAATAAAAGAACGTTAAATTGCTGGGGGAAAAAATGTGCTTCCTTTGCTCACTTTTGGTTATCGGTGGGGAAGTTGAGGCTCTCATGAATAGAAACGGCACGGAATTCACTGTTCCTAAAAGCATCAGGGGTGGTTTTGGAATTGATGGGAAGAGAAAGAATGCCTAGAGCAAGAAGGATAAGCAGAACAACAGAGAGCATGAGAAGTATGGCCAGAACAAGAGCACAGGTCGATGTCCTCCCAACCATGCTCCTTGACCTCCTCCCACCCATAATCGCCATTATTGATCACACCTCAAATGAAGGCTCCTGTTTCTTACTGACGAAAGAAGAAAGGACAGTTTTCAGGTGTTTTCTCCAACTCTAGAGAGGGGGAGAGAGAGAGGAGATGATCTGGTCAATGCAGAGAAGGAAGGAAGTGTTCATGAAGAAATAGGCAGCGGAAACTGTAGGAAATTGAAGAATCAATGCGACTGTTCTTTTAATGGTGGTGGGTTTTATTATGCAATATTTTGACACCCTTGATAAAAATTTCACGGCTAAACATAAGTGTAGTACTAAAAGTAAATGGTCTCATTGTATTAAATACCTTATTGAAAATGGTTAAAGGAAAATTGGGTAATAAATTCTTTTTGGGTAAAGGAGAAGCTCCGAACCTGATTTTCATTAATAATAAAAAAAATTTTAACTTATAATTTTATAGCCTTATAATAGATAAATTGTACCACATCATAAAATAATATAAAAGAAAAAAATTTTGGCGGTCTAGATCACCAAACAATAGCATCAGAGAAAGCGATGGCTTTCGTTGTAAATAAAGCAGCCACAGTGTAGCCTCACCATAAATGTAGGTAAGGGACCAAGCATAATCACAGAGTTTATATTGGCAGGTAGCAGGAACAACATTTAGCGCATATGGAGCTTTGCATCGATCATAGAGAACATTTGAGCTGGTTGGCCAAGTTAATGCCAGCTTGTAACACTAGAAACTCTACATAATTATTTGATGTTATAGAACAAGGGGATTGCCAAATACTATGATAAAAGATCCATCATCACTTCTAATTATGCCTTCACTACCTGCCAACCTTGGATTTTGAAGTGAAGCACCATCAATATTCAATTTGAAATGATTAGGTCTAAGAAAAGACCATGTGTTAAATGTTATAGCAATAAGAAATTAATTTCCTATCTTGTGGATTACAAAATATTGAGTTTTCTATTTAAGTTATGTATTTTGTGAGATTACAATTGTAGCAAGATTTATTTTTAAAAAAGACAATAATTATAACGCTATAAATATCTGATACACCAGAGTATCTTTATGAATGATATACTGGTTTACCCTCGATAGATGTAGGCATCATTGTTAAACCACGTATATGTTTTGTTGATCTTCCTCTCGTTCATGTTTCTCTTATTGTAAATTCTACATGGTATCAGAGTAGATCAATTTATTGCTGATCGAATTTATTCCTTTTGAATCTCATATCTCATCTTTGTTACATCTCTTTACACATTGCTTTGCGCTGCCATCATGATTAAGTGTTCACGTGCTCGGTTTCAGGGATTTATAGTTGCTATTCAAACATATGGTGGCATGCTAGCTACGTTGATTTTTTTTTTATTTGCAAGTGCAAAACGTTGTTCTCTCCATGAAAGTTTTTTTTTGGTTTGCAAGTGCAAAGTCCCATTGCAAATTTTTTGCAAGTGCAAAGTCCCATTGCAAATTTTTTGCAAGTGCAAAGTCCCGTTGCAAGTTTTTTGCAAGTGCAAAACGTTGTTCTTTTTTGAAGTTTTCGGTTTGCAAGTCGGTTTTGTAAATTGATTTGGAATGCAAATTATTGGCTCTTGGTTTGCTATTGTGTTGGATCTTTTTCTCTCATAATCCATATTTGCAAGATTTGGTTGGAAAGAAAGTAACATGTTATTGTGATTGTTATCAAGCTATTCAATACATATTGGTGATTTCTATAGAGATAAACAATAGATCTCATTGGGGACTTCATTTCTTTTTGATTGCGACATCTTCTAAACTTGAACATATAACAACGAAAAAAACCATGAATCTTGATTTTAAAACCTCTGAAAAAAGTATTGAGAAATCTTTTCTAATTCCTAATAATGAGGTATATGAAACAAAAAGCCATCAAAATAGTGATGAGGTAAGTACCCCAATAATTATTGTGAACGTGGAAGGGGTCGTAGTAATAAAGGGTGTCTTAGTTATGATCATAGCAACAATCTAACACATGAAAATGTGTTGGGTAGTATACTCACACTTAAGGCCCATTAATAAGATGACATCCGACAGATCTATCGCTTAGACCGCAGCCGCTCAAACCCATCATTGTAATTGTGATTATTATCAGTAACCAAATAACCACATTGGTTCTTCCTCCTCACAGGATCATTCTTCTCCATTCCTTGACACATGTAACCCTTATGCTTCCATGTCTTCTTGTGATATTTTACCTTGGATAATAGACTCAGGGGCCATAGATTATATATCTGGTAACTTATAGTTTTTATCCAACCTAAAAAATAGTAAAAATATGAATCTTGTGTCTATTGCTAATGATTCATTGATTCATGTTCATGGTGTTGGTCAGACTAAGTTCTTCTCTAAGTCTCATAACTCTGTCTCTTTATGAAATCATTTTCCGCTAACTTGATATCTGTTAATAGTACTCAGAGCATGTATTGCAATATTATTTTGGAAAATTGTTTCATGTAGGTTGGAGCACATGACTACATATGCGGTCCAAAAAGTGTAAAGCATCGATCTTAAAGGTGGATGCAAGTACGTGTTTCATCTAAAAACAATGGAAACAAACAGTCTAAATGTTTTCTTATTAGATTTTTTATTTTTTATTTTTAAAATTTATTTATTTTTTCATATTCATGATCTCCATATTAAAGATTACATGTCCTTAAAAATTAAGTCTTAAAATCTATCTCAAAAATAGATTTATTAAGAGCCCCGCATTTCTACATATGCGGGCTTTGTCGCATAGAAACCTGGTCCTATTATTTTTCTCTCAACTTTGTACCTTTCCAAGACAGGGCCACGGGTAGAAAGATTAGTGAAGGAATAATTTCTCATGAGCTATATTTATTTAATTAGGAGAATAAGGTTTTGACCAGTCAAAATAATTTCGATATTAATAAATTGTGGCATTGGAATTTTAGATACCCTTCAGATAAAGTCTAAAATATATTCATTTCTCAAATGACGTATATTTTAGACTTGTTGAAAGAAACTGGAAAACTAAGAGTCAAACCCGTGGACATCATTGTTGATATTAATTGCAAGATTGATTCAATAAATAGAAAATCTCTTGAAGATGTTGGTCGATTTTAAAAACCTGTGGGCATATTGATTTATTTGACTGTGACGCAACTATATTTAATTGATTTATTTGACTGTGACGCAACTATATTTAATATACATGCTCCTATATCATGTCATATGGAGGTTGTCAATAGGATTCTTAGCTATATTAAGTTGTCACTCGGCATAGGTATTTGGATGAAACCAAATTGGTCACACTAATAGTACTGGTTATTCTGATGTTGTTTGGGCAAGTAGTTCAATTGGCCGGAGGTTCACTGCTGGCTATTGTACATTGGTTGAAGGAAACTTAGTTACTTGGAAAAACAAAAAATAAAATGTAGTTGCTCGATCCAATACAAAAGCCGAATATAAAGTTATGACTTCAACTACAAGTGAAATGATCATTCATAAAAAATGTATGAAAGACTATCAAAGTGAACCCTACCAACTAGAATCATATCTAACCTTTTAGACTAGAACCTCTATAACCAAAACACTACACTTTATACCAGTGGTTTAAAAAGTGGATCGGTGACCTGGATCGGGCATCTCAAAAACCCATCCGGATCGGCGAATTGGCGATTCGGATCTGGAATCGGCTGAATCGGTCTGATTAAACCTTAAAAAATCCGAAAGAATTATTAAAATTCATTATAAATGTTGTTTTTTAGGAATTCAATAAGAAATGAGGGTACTCCATTAAGAATTTTCATTTCTTTGCATAAATATGTGAATATTGATATGTTCTTTCCCTGCATGAACTACTATTTACCGTTTAATTTACATCACACAAAAGGATCAACATAGAATTATCATGGATTAAGTATATCATCATACATGAACTACAATAAAGCATACAATTCGTAACATACGATCTAAAAATAAAATGACAGACAACGTCGTTTTTCATCTTGGTCACGCTGGTGTCATTGATTGAATTCACGTGACAATTCATTGACTCGATCTAAAAATGAATCATCCAAATTAGTGGGCACCTGACTATACGCAAATCCCTGAGTGTTAGTGTTTTGTTATGGTTCTAATCCAAAATGCCCGAAGCTTGTCCATCATTCATGCTCACCTACACTATCGTGCTCATCCCTACCCTCTTGTTGTTGGGACTCGAGATGTGAATAATTTGGCTGGGATTGAGTGGCCTCAGAATCATCATCTCTCTCATTTTCCCTTAGTCCCCCTTCCCACTCTCCCTCATTAGGTACAATATCACCGATATCTCCGACGAATTGTGGATATGTTGGCGGGCTGCTTCCTCTTTCATGCTGCTTATCACCTTCTTCAAGATCTTCCTCACAGATAGCCTCAAGGAACGCTCTCTTATGCAACACTGGCTCATCTTCTTCTGCTACCCATTGTTCTGCTGTGTCTGTGACAAATATTGCGTCCAAGTCTATCGGTCCACAGTCTTCAAGCTTCCTTCTTATTTGTCGCTCTCGGAGGTTTAAGTTGTAATGAACGTAGACTAGTTTATGAAGCTTCTCCAAAGCAAGTTGATTCCTTCTAGTAGTGTGCAACCATTGGAACGTACTCCAGTTTCGCTCACAGCCAGTAGCAGAACATGTCTGGGAGAGCACCTTGATTGCTATCCTCTTTAGGTGAGGTGCATCACTACCATATATCTCCCACCATTCAGCTGGATTAAAATACAAAAAGCATTGTAAGAGTAAGAACAATTCATAAAATTAAATATATGAATGAACAAAATATTAGTTAGGGGATAACCTGGATCCATCTTAGTTCGAGAATTCCTGGCAAGTCTAGTTCTGAGGGATCCTATAGCATCCCTATACATAGCAAGCTAAAACAAAATATTTCGTTTTAGTACATTATTCCTCACAAATATAACAACTCAATCAAGTTCATACTGAAATATTAAATAATACCTCTTGTATTGCTGCTACCTGATTTCGATGGCTTCTCTCCAACCTGACAATAATGTATCTGACCCCTTCCATAATCTTGTGGGGATGTTCAGGTGTCAAATGGAAAAATTTTGGGTTGAAGTAGTAACCTGACAAATATATAGATAGAGAAATGTCATTTAAAATTTCATACAAAAATAATTTACAATGAAACATTCTAAT